CAAATCAAACACGTTTTTATCTCATATTAATTTGTATTTAAATAATTTTAAAAATATACCTCATTTCGTTCAAAATTTTAATACATTTGAAAAATTAATTTTTTTTTTTCAAAAGTTGACCCATAATTTAAATTCTAAAATTAATTTCAGTTAGAATGAAAAAAAAATAGGTCGACAACGCAAGCGTCAAAACGCTCGGGAAATCCGTCGCGCAGAACTGACAAGTGTTGGGTAATATCACCCCGTCACCAACAATCACACATAACCAAGACAACATTTTCCGAGAAAACGAAGTCCCAATTCCTAAATTCAATCCTCTTCTGTTCCTTCTCAACGAGTTAAAACACTTCTGTCGCTCTAACATCAAGCGTGCCACTTGATTGCAGAGATAATCATTTGCACTCTGAATTTCAGCTCCTTGAATCGGTCATTTCCAGATTTATTTTGGGTTTCCCAAGAATCCATCATTGCCATAATTGTCACAGGATAATTTGGATCATTGCCATTCAGGCAAGGAACCCATTTTGGAGGAAAAAATCCGGTGCATTGTGATCAGGGAAGGGAGCTTGTTCTTGGAGCAACTCGTCTCCGACGATCATTTTGTGAGGATCCTTCTCTGGTAGGTTTTCATGAGAGTGAATTAATGGAGCAATTTCGGCACATCGGGGAAACATTAGGAAGCTTGAAGGCTTTAATGGTGTTCAAGGACAGCATCCAGATGAACCAGAGACAATGCATATTGTTGCTTGATATCTTTAGTTTTGCATACGATTCAATAGCAGAGGAGATGAGACAGAATCTGAAATTTGAGGAAAGGAACATCAAATGGAAAGTTCTGGAACAGCCATTCAGAGAGCTTCACAGGGTGTTTAGAGAAGGAGAAGCTTACATTAGGCAATGCTTGGAATCCAAAGACTGGTGGGCTAAAGTCATTACCCTCTATCAGAACACCGATTGTGTTGAGTTCCATATCCATAACTTGCTTTGCTCCATCTTCGTTGTTGTTGAAGCCGTTGAAAATGTTGCAGAGCTGTCTGGGTGGGATCAAGATGAGATGCAGAAGAAGAGGCGCGTGTACTCATACAAGTATCACAAGGACTGGAATGATCCTCAAGTATTCCAGTGGAAATTTTCAAAGCAGTACCTTGTGACACAAGATTTCTGCAATAGGTTTGGCACTGTTTGGAAAGAAGATAGGTGGATCCTTCTAAACAAAATCAAGGAGAAGAAAAGCTCAGGTTCCATGAAGCACAAGAGACAACTCATTGATCTCCTTTTCAGTAATTTAAATGCTTCAGATGAGGCGCGGAATGGGAACTTGTTGCCAAGTTCAATCCTTGTGGGGTCTAAGGACTACCAGGTGAAGCGGCGACTTGGCAGTGGGAGTCAGTACAGGGAGATCAATTGGTTAGGTGAAAGCTTTGTGATGAGATACTTTCAGTTTCAGGGTGACATAGAGGCCATGATGCCAGAGATTTCCAGGTTGCTATATCTATCCCACCCAAACATATTGCACTTGCTCTGTGGATTTACAGATGATGAAAAGAAAGAGTGTTATTTGCTCATGGAACTAATGAGCAGAAGCCTCTGCAACCACATAAAAGAGGTTTGCGGCCCAAGGAAGCGAACCATTCCTTTTTCTCTTCCTGTGGCTGTTGATCTAATGCTTCAAATAGCAAGAGGAATGGAATATCTCCACTCAAATAAAATCTATCATGGCGATTTAAATCCTTCCAATATTCATGTTAAATCAAGAGGTTTGGCCACAGATGGATACCTGCAAGTGAAGGTTTCAGGTTTTGGCCTCCCTCATGTAAAGAACTTGACACAAAAGAGCATGTCCAATCAGGATGAAATACTCCCATTCATCTGGCATGCTCCAGAAGTGCTAGAAGAGCAAGAGCAAACTGGAAGCACAAGGAACTCAAAGTACACTGAGAAAGCTGATGTCTACAGCTTTGGAATGGTTTGCTTTGAGCTTCTCACTGGGAAAGTCCCATTTGAAGACAGCCATCTTCAAGGTGACAAAATGAGCAGAAACATTAGGGCTGGGGAGAGGCCATTATTTCCATTCAATTCCCCAAGATTTGTGACAAACTTGACAAAGAGATGTTGGTATGCTGACCCAAATCAGAGACCAAGCTTCCCATCCATCTGCAGGATTCTTCGCTATATAAAACGGCTCCTTGCAATGAACCCAGATTATAACCAGTCAGAACTACCAATGCCACTTGTAGATTACTCTGAGATTGAGTCAAAGCTTCTAAAGAAATTCCCGTCATGGGAGACTTCTGATCAGTCATCAATATCACAAATCCCTTTTCAGATGTTTGTTTATAGAGTAATGGAAAAGGAGAAAACAAGTCCCTTCTTCAAAGATACTTCAGAATCAGGAAGTGATAGAGCTTCAGTCAGTGGTGATGAAAATGTAAATGCAGATGACCCCTTCCTAACAGCAGTAGCTGAAAGAAGGTGCTTTTTACCTTCACCTGATAGGATACCCAAGATACATTCAATATTGAAGAAACCTCTAGATATAAAACCAAGACAACCAGGTAACATTAACATCCTAAATCATTTTTTCCTTCTCATATTATCTAGGTTTTTTTCTAATTAAAACCAATCTATGGCAATCTTGTAGTTTCAGAGCAATAATTATTAATTTTTGTGATATGCAATCTGATGTTGAAGTTATTTCCATGAAATCTAAGATGAAAATGGGAAAACAATCCTTAATTATATTCCTATGATAAGATATTATGATAAAAAAGGGTCAACATAAAAATTTGATCAACTGCTCTTTTGGTCTATTTTGACAGGTACACCAAAAGGACGATCAGTTAGACCTCCCCAAATGACACCTCGTGGACGCAACTTAAGAATGAGTCCAGAAAGCCAGCTAATGGTAGCTAGTCCAAGAATGAGAAGATCGTCCTCTGGTCATGTCTCAGATTCAGAGCTCAACTGACTGAACAGTTGATAACACATAAATGAAGTTCATTTCAAACAGCAGGACTCAAACGAAAAGGAATGACAAGAAAGGGATTGACGGTATCCATATGAAATTGTGAGAATTCAGACATTGTTGAGATTTCTTACGGTAGTTTCTTAGAGAAGGAACACTATATAACTTGCACTAACTCCTTAGACTATGTGCACTAAGTCACATGTGCTAAACATTCGAAGTCTAGTCAGTGTTTCTGATAAAACCAAATCAACCACAAGCAGGATTCTAAACAGAAAGGATGAATTCCCTTTGCCAGTTCAGAATGTAGGTTAAATCTGTTTTAGTAAACCTCCTTAGTCCTTACAAATGGGAGGATAATATGCATCTTTATTTAACTTCAATTAGTCTATAGTTTATAGAACTTGTCATTCTGGCCAAAGGCAATAAAATCATTGGAAAGATGGTCTAATGATGTGGCTGCTAAATACATGAAGTGATGCATTACTCGAGTGAGTAATAACAAAGTGTTCCAACAATAATATTTAATCAAAAGAACTGTTATAAAAAAAATGTCAGACTTGATGCATTCACTAGATTTTCTACAGAATGGCACAAAGGTTCCACACATTCAACAAGTAGATCACTTTTAATTGGAAACTTTATAGAATTGGTCAGAAAGGTTAATGAAAAAATTCTAGCTCTGCAAAGGCAAGTACCTTATACACTGAAATGCCTCAGCCCTAGGATGTCCATGAGGAACTTTGACAGTCGGCCTTGAGTGTCCTTTCTGAAGTTCCAAGCAATCACATTCTTCTTCTGGTATCAGTGTAGAACATTTTACTGATGCAGGATTGCAACAAAAACCATCTTGATATCCAAACACATTCATCTTTCAAACTTAAGCCCACCCAATTTGGCCAATTATACAGTCAACTTGTCTAGAAGGGATACAAAAATGAATCATAAAGATACTTCATCTTAAAGTACAGTCCTAGTTGAAGTCGAAGCATGTCCATCTTGTTCTGCAACAGTCACGGACATGTCTGGTTGATTCCATTAGTTCCAACTTTCTTGAGGGAATGGTCTCGTGTTCAAAAGTAACTAAGCACTAAAGGCAAGAAATAACAGGAGAATTGTATCTTTGCCCCCATGCAGCACCATGAAACTGAAGAAAGTCCCAAATGGTAGCTGTGAGGAAGATCCACAAGAGTTCCATTCTCTTTCTCTTTACTCTTCAGCCTCTGTGTTTTCTCATTCCCAGTTCCCATTCAGTACTTTCTCAAAATGCAAACAACAAATCTTTTGGAACTGGGAAGCTAATAAGATGAGTGAACATTGAGAGGCGGAGCCAATTTTAGGATAAAGCTTTCATTAAACCATTTTCAATAGTTCAATACTTCCAGCTGAGTTAGCAGCAACAAGCATGTTTGACTTTCGTCTCCAACAGACACTTGAAACAAACTGTCCATTATCATCAACGACCTCATTAACACCCCCAAACTTATGAGAAGTTATTGGCATTGGCAAAGATTTATAATAACAAAAGACCTGCACAAAGGAACAACGAAAACAAATTAGAATATTCTGATCTTGTTTGTACGTACCCAGTTCTGGAAATTAGAAAAAAAAAGGAAGAACAGGGTGTGAAACATGCATAATAATATTGCATTCAGATTTTATTTCAGTCTCTGGTGAGGAAGAAATTTTTTGTTGGAGACTCTGTAGTTTGATTACATTTGTGCTTATATATATTATTCAAGCCTTTTAATGAGAAAGGTAAATGTCCATTCCACTTCCTGGATCCAGTCCCTTATCTCAAAAATGAAAATTTGAACATATTTACCTCATTAGTTTCTGAACCACAGGCAATATATCCATCCAAAGCAGATAAACCCACAAAATTCTGACCAAACAGAAAATGAAGGGTTAGAAGAACTAAAAGAATTACTAAAGCTTGAATATTTATAGACCTAGAGTAGAGTGCTATCCACCTTCTCATTTGTATGACCACTGAAGGTAAGGCAACAAGCATTGGAGGACGATCCAGCTGAACTAGTTTTATTGAGATCCCAAAGCTTTAGAGTGTTGTCCGTGGATGCAGAAACGAGGGTTCTGGAATCTAAAAACTTCACATAGCTAATAGCTTTTTCATGGCCAGATAATGTGCACAAAGGGATTCTCACATGCCGCAGATCATAACAGTTCACCTTATAATCAGCTGATCCAAAAGCCAATAAATGAGAAGAGAAAGTAGAGAACTGAAGACAGCAGACATTTGCATGGCTCCATATGGTTCCAAGAGAATTTCTCTGCAAAATTAATTTCATTAAATATTAACAAGATACATTAACACTATCCCAAGTTCACATAGAAAAAAGAAAGGATAGAAGGGCCAGAACAGAGGTAAGTCCCGGCATGTGATGCAGTACGTTAGTGATATAGGAGGGAACATACATCATTAATGCTCCAGAGCTTCACAGAACAATCATCACTTCCACTAGCAAATCTTGTTGGGTCAGCTTGAGAAAAATCAACAGACCAAGCTCTTTTTTGGTGCTCTAGGTATTGACAGAATCCTCTTCCAGTGCCTGTATCCCACATCTGTAAAACATTGATACCATGTTACTAATAAAACACAAGACTAACATCATTAAAGAAAATCTAAAATAAACTCATACAAAATATCGGATCAAATGGTTCAAAAAGTTGAATAATGTTTTTTAACTTTAGCCGGACAGGCTCCTACGGCAATCTAGTAAATCTACACCCTTCCAAAGATGGTCATTTTTGTATCAGTTAGCCTTCAATGTGTTGCTCCAAAATAAAGCTAATCATTTAAGTATAATTAAAACCCGAAAAAAGTGGCTTAACAGAGAAGTCAGTCAGTCAGCCACAATCCACAAAAAGTAGATAAGAGAAGTCAATCATCAGCCACACCCCAACACGAATCCAATTTATAATCAGGAAAAGAAAAACAAGAGAGAAAGAATTAAGTGCATGCAAAACAGATAAGATATTCTTATTTAACAAGATAGCCTCTCTGCTAAGATAGCTCCAAGAGAACCAAAGAAATGACAGATCTCAGTACCTACCAAAATTAAGCAGTACATTTGATGATATGAGCCACTAAGACAAAATGTAATTCCCTATTTGACATTCCTAACAGATACCTTCAAATGTGCAAAGAATATTCACCTGAACAACACCATCGTAATCAGTTGAAGCCAAATAGTTCCTTATGTAGTTGTTCCAGCAAACACAGCTAAGCTTAGATTTGTTTGACATCTCAACTACAGGATAGTGGATATCAATAGAGTCCTTTATAAATGCACCAAACTCAAAAATCTTTATTTTCTTTGATATCCCAGCCGCAGCAATAAAGTCCTCATCACGGTCCAAACTGATACTGCAGATTACATTTGGAGAGTTCAGAAGGTCCCCATTTCTTATGGCACCACATACTTCAAACTTGCTATAGCGAGCAAACTTGCACAAACCTTCAAAAAAGGCTCCTAGAGGCTTCATAGGTTTCTGATCCATGCTCAGCCCCCCAGTCTCACTTTGTGCTTCAGACCATTTGTCACCCTTTTTTTGTGAGCCTTTACCAAAACATGCTGCATCATCAGTTTTAGTGCGATGTATTTGGGATCTCATGGAGAAGTAAGCATCCTCAAGCTTACTAATATTCCTCATCAACGATCCATTATTCATATGTGACTCCACAGTTGAGTCAAAATGAGCAATGGAACTTTGGGAATCATCAAACCATTTTGCATCAGAGTGTTTATATTTTAAGTGAGAAAAATCTGCAGCTGTCCTTAATAGGTGCCCCCTCTCAACGTCTTTTATATCTTCTTCTAAGAAAGAAATATGGTAAACCAACTTGGAGGCATCCTTCATTTTTTGTTCCTCCAATGTGGTAAGAAAATGCAGTAATAGTGCTGGTTCAGAACTATCATCAGAAGTAAATGCTGACAAGTCATCCTGACAAACTGAGTCTTGGGATTTGCATATGAAATCAGACTGCAGGATTTCCCTGTTTTTCACAAAAAATAAGAGAATTGGAATGTCTACATCAAAATTTTTAAATTAAAAAAAAGAAAAAGAAAAAAGGAGAGAGAGATTTGGAATGTACTTCATGACTAAAACAACCAGAATCTATTTGCACATCACAATTCATTTCAGAATGTAGTCTACATATAAAGATGAAGTACAAGCAACTGTAGACAGATGACGATCAAGTTCATAATGCTCAAACCCTCTCAACTTCTCCAACTACATCAGGACCAAAGCTACTATCCCAGAAATATAGAAGTGTAAATGAAAATAGGAAAGACATAAAATTTTCTTGTCGTTTGCAACCATTTATATCCATTAGACTGTAATTACATATGTAACCAAGGCCACAACTACCAAGGGATGGTGTCAAGCTAGAAAGTTTTAAACAGGTTATTGAGAAACGAAGGAATGAACTCTTGTCCACTCTACTCTAATCTCCAACCATGAGCTGACATTGTAATGCAGCACTAATCCCCCAAAAATTTGTTTTCACCAGTTGTTAAACAAACAAACATGCTACAAATCTAATATTCAGTTCGTCAACATGGATAGTGGCAGATTAAGGAAAGTTGTTTGCATGGATACCTAGTTGTTGGACGAGACGAAGGTTCAGGATGAAGAAGCCAAAGACAGAAGCCAGCTTCCTCAGGATTTCCCGATAGAAAATTTGGTGGAAGGATCCGATAGTGCAAATCCAGCATTGCTTGAGAATGCACTTCCCATGATTCAAAACAGCATAATAACTGAAAGAGAGAGCCAAAGTTAGTTGGAAATTCAGATCCTCTATCTACTCAATTCCAGGGTTGAAAATCAAACAAAACATAGATGGATAAGAAAGTGGCAAATAAATAATCTATATGACTAAGACCTACTTTTATTTGGCACGGCCTTTTAGATGACTAGAGTCAAAATAAATAGTTGTATTGCAAGAACTTAAATCATGCTGATTGTATGAGCTACATACGTGTCAAAAAACAATAACCACTAAAAAAAGGTAATATCAACTAACAACTGTTTACTACACCAACAATAAAATATCTTCACCTCAAAGAGTAGAACCCCCAGACCATAGACATTGGATAAAAATGTAAAGCCTCTACCATTTAGCTCCTCCGGAGAAGCATACCACTTCTTTTCCAATTCCACAGTGGCAGAAACAGATGGTTGTAGTCTTGTAACAGACGTGCTTGGATAACTGAAATTTCGAGGCTGGTTCTGAGCACAGTTAGGATGCTGTGGACCAGTTACATGAGTGCAGATCTTACTTCCTACCTTGGCCTTGAAAGCACAACTGGAGGGTAAACCAAGAGAGTGCATGTCCTGGTTGAGCTTTAGCTGATTTGCACCCAAATCACTGTTAGAATGCATATCTTCTTCCAGTGGCCTCTTCCTATTCAACTCAAAATTGGCAGATGAACCGGTATATATAATCCTGTCTGATGGCAATACCTTGAAACAGGATGCTCTTAAGTCTTGCAATACAACTCCTTGAGAGTGTGCGGAGTCCACAAACTCCACAATCAGCCTAAATAAAAACAGGCTTTCAGCTTTATCTCTTCTAGAACTACTAGAATTGAGCAACTCCCTCAGATTGATGCCATTGCAGAAAGATTCATCGGCAGACCTATCAAGGCCATCCGAATAAAGCAGCTCATTTTTAGAACTCGGGCAATTAGTTTCTGGTTCTGTGTTGATAGTGCCCTTTCCTTTCAAACATTTCTTCAAAAATAATTGAGAGAAGCCTGATGTGGGTGAGTTTTTCAATTGAGTAGTCCCAATAGGCAATACATTTGTTGGGAGAGTAGGAGTATTACTACCCTCATCCTTCAAACACGCAGAAATTCCTCCTGGCTTTTGATATATTCCCCTGATGAACAAAGGATTCAAATTCTGTTTCCAAGTAGTCATCGCTGCTAACTGCATGTTTTTAGACACCAAGTCTCCATGCAAAGCCTTAAATCTAGACGCAATTTCTGAACGATACTGAAATCCAATTTGACCCTGCCTAGAGCTGCAATGGCTATTATTTGATAAAATCAATTTTTGGTTCCTAAAATTTTCCGCAGTTTTCTCTTTAACCACAATCTCAGCCTCAGTGTGATTCATAGTAGAAGAACTACTAGGACAAGGAGGTGCAGATCCTGTCACAGAAGTTACATGTTTGCTCAAGTCCTTACCCGGATCAGCAACCGCATAACAATGCGGCAAATTCACACCCCACTTGCTTCTAACCGATTCATGTGTTCTTGGTAATTCCGTCCTAATATTCCCATCTGAATTCAAAGTACACTCCTTTCTCAGGAGCGTTGTTCTCCCAACCCTGTTGCTTGCAGCTGCAGCTGCAGCTGCAGCTGCAGCCGCTTCTCCTCCTTCCTGCTCCATATACTGCCCCAACAAATTAAAACCAAAACCCAACAATCAAAATCATTGGAAAAATTCTACTGATCATATTAAAACAAACAAGAGAGACAAAAGCAATAATTCAACCTCAATAGGAAAACAAAGGAAATTAAATACCATTACCATACAAAAAGAAGAATCAGCCGGAAAATGGGGGAATATTCAACCTTGGAAAGAAGAAAGCAAAGTCAGCAAATTGCCAGAAAAGGAAATAAATATCTTCCCAGAAACGCCTGTTACAGTGCCATGAGCAACCCCATTTTGCATATATCTCTTTATTAAATTCCACTAAGTAAAGTGTCAGACTTTGTCAGTTTCAATCAAAATAAATTGAAATTTTATTGCAATTTGCTTCACTAAAATGACTAGTGAACCGATGGAAATCTGTGGGGAGAACAGCAGCCACGATATGTGTATCCAGCAAATCAAAGACCATGTGCACCAAGAGACAGATTCAACTTTATTGTATACCAAGAAATAATACACTCTCAGTATAAGTGGGTATTGATTTCTGGATTTATTACTGAAACTGCCATCCCCAGGGATTGGAACTTGGACTGAGAAAAATGGGCCTACGAAGCCATAGGAGCCATGACACGCGTTGTTTATGCAGCTTTCATGGCGTCCAAGTCTTCGTCCCTGTGGACCCACGCGGATTTAGGACCAGGTGAAAGAGGGAAAATGATTGAGATGATTTCCAAATATACAAATTTTTTTTTTATAAATTTATATATTTTGAGTAGATTAAAAAATAAAAAAATTTATTTATAATTAAAAATTAAAAATTTTATGTTAT